ATATATATATATATATATATAATTTTAATACTTTTCATTCCTCAGTTACCATTCATACACAAAAATGTAACAAAACTGCTTTATATAAACGATTGTCATATAAATTTAGAAGTTTTAGTAAGAAATTTAAGAAAACACTTTAAAATGGATTATTGTTAATATTCGTATATTGATAATAAGTACATTTGATATAAACAAATGGATTTTATAATGTGTAAAATAAATAACTTTACATGTTACGCATAATGGTCATACGTTACGTGCAAAGCTACGCTCTTTTCTGGGTCAATGATAACTCTATTCATTAGTATTTCATGAGGCACAAATCTGTAAAAGAAAATTCATAGAAAACTGATTTATCTGGGATTTTAGATAAAATTTCATGGTCCCAAAAGAATATCCTCTTCCACGTATTACAGGTGAAATACCGGAAAATTTTTTCCCGGTGATTTCCCCAGACGAGCTGGTCAATCGATCTCTGTCCTAATTGCGCAAAAAATAAAATCTACGCGAAAGGGACATGGCACCTCGATTTCTTTTGTGTTTTTTTGAGTTACATACCAATAACACATGTGCACCTTATGTTCAGTGGTTTTTCTCTTAAAACAAAATATATTAGCATTCCTGACAGCGTTTCTGATCATTTCATTTTTTTCGTTACTCCAAATTTGAATTAACTATTCTTATAAAAAATTAATTTAATGTGACAAATTTTTCATCGAAAAATTGTTTTTCTATACATTTTTTTCTATAAATTGTTAAAAAATAATACTAAAATTCTTTCTGGCTTGCTAAAAGTAACTGATTTTTAGAATAGTATTTTTGGAAAGCGACTGTCAAACTTTTATTTTATAATCTGTCTGAAATAAATTTTGGCAGCTTTCTGTTTAGGTCTGCACCAAAGAAAGTTAAATTTTACTTTGTCATCACTAAAATCTTAATTTGTCATTTTAAATGTTTGAATTAATAACTTTCAAAATATAATCATTTACTTTTATATTTGCTTAGATAATCACTTCAAAACTTTTAAATAGACTGATTATAATAAATAACATTCTTGTATTAAAAATTACACGAAGTTAATTTATTTCAGTAAAGAAATGTATTGATTCTTGAAAAATTGTTCATTTATTTTATTATTTACATTGCAAAAATAAATTCTCTCATATGTATTTTTTTTTAATACTTCTTGAAAAGGTAAGAAATTAAAATAATGGATTTTGCGATCATTTTTGAATTAGGCCCCGTAATTTGGAAATAATTGCCGTATTTGTTGATTACCAGTGATAATTCTCTTACATTAATAATTCATATCCACGTAGAACTGATTCTATGAATATATGAATATTTCATGCATTCTCTCTCTCTCTCTCTCTCTCTATTTCTCTCTCCCTTTCAAGTAAAAAGCACACGACGTGAAAACAGAACATTTGGTCGTTGCTGATGCGACAATCAGAGACTGCAAATACAGTTAAAGCGAAAATCCAAGAATGAAAATTAAATTAATTTGTTCTTTACGTATCGTAATGTGCTATTTAATTTTAAAAGATATTTGAAAAATTAAAATTTAAAACTTAATATATAATCGTAAATATTTCAAAGCGATCTTATTACCTTTTTTCTGAAATCTTGCTACCTCTGAACTTTTACAAGTATAAGTAGAAATGGATTTTCTCAAACGTAAGAGCCGAATCTGTTATTCACATACAGCAAATATGAATCAACATTATCATACAATTGCATGCAGGATTCAAGAATCATTTACGTCAGTCAAGTATTCGTTCCGAATGTTTTACAATAATATTTTTCTTATTTCCTTATTATCTGACAATTCTTTTGTCAAATCCGTCATCTCGTCGTCGATATCGAACTTAAAGTCACAGATGCGTAACACATCTGGCGAAAACGATGCATCCTTTCAAGATAATTCGGGCAAACAGGATCATCTTGGATTTATCCCTGGATTTACGCTCACAAAAGCCTCGGCGACTTGGGTTAACCTCAGGTTGAAACCAGACACGGATAAGGGACGATCGTCGGCCAATGAACGTTGATGTTTCACGGGCTTACCGATTCCCTAATAGCCATTATATAACGATTTAATTTGATATCCACTTGATCTTGAATGGAATGCAAGCTATATGTACCTCTGTGGACTGCAGTGATACCGAGTCATACTCTTTAGGAGTCTGCGTAATATCTGCTCCAAACATCGCCGGAATGTGATGCCGCACATCGCGTACAGCAGGAAATTGATGCTGAAGTTTGTATAATAGAGCAGCATGAAGAACTGCTGAAGACACCAGAGTGTCTCCGGTGTATTCTTCTTTGCCAGAGCAAAGAAGAACACGCATAGACGAATTACGTAACTGAAACAGAGCGAGAACTCGACTCACAATGTAATTTCCGTGCAAATTTGATTTCACCAAGATATATTAACCGTTTCATTTCCACCGTAAACTGCAATTTGCATTTACTTGACAATTTTATCTCTTCTGAGAAAAAATCGTAAACCTTTACTGCCTGTTTTGTAAATAAATATTGTGTGACGAGATTTATTTTTTCTTCTTTCATCGTAACTTTAGAAAAAAATTTAAATTCTATAAAAAATATTCACACATAGAATATCATATTTAAAATTGATTCTTACATCTTGACACATTATTGATGTGATAAATATTAAATAATAAATAAACAGAATGAAAATCTCTGCCGCAAATTACATAAATTTGTTTAAATAAATTAAACTAAAAGCTTAAATGTATTTCTGTCAAATATCATTCAAGCTTAAATAAATATATTACTCGAGTAATACTACAATTTACATATGATGTTTCCATGATGATGAATTTGAAAATTTTCCGCGTAGATGATTAAATCTTCTGCAACATTGTGTTAAAGGAACAATGTGTACTTTATGTAATCTAATCCGATTATACAGATTCAATTTTTTACATTGTATTTTATAAGCTATAAAAGATTTAATTCAGCTAATGTCGCAAGCATTTAAATTTCACAGAAATTTTAAGCGCACCGCGCACCGTGAAAAAGTAGATTAAAAAAAAGCGTACTAAATAAAAATAATATAACGAAGATGCTCACCTCGGTAGATTAAGTAATATGAAGACCGTGCTAATAAGCACGAGCATTTTAGTGATGCTCTCTTGATTAAATCTAGTCGATCCGAGATTCCGACAAGATGACCTAACGTCTGCGAAGTGAAAAATAAATTCTATATAGCTTTTACATCTATAGTCAGAGATATGAAAGTAAGAAGCTTACTTTATGGCTCGATAGAAATGTATTTTTTTACCTTCGCTAAATACAAAATTTAAAAGTGTTATAGAACACAACTTCCTGCTTTTCATCATTGCAGCATTTGAAACTTAAGTCATTTTATAATTTTAATAATGCCAGAGGTCATCTACCTATAGTAATAGTTATAATTATCATGCAAAAGACGATGTTTACGTCGCTGAGAAAAATCACTTCGTGAAAGAATTGTTTTGAATTTCGCCAAGAAAATATTAATAATTTCATAATTTCTTATCGAGCGAGAGCGCTTGTTATCTTATAAGGTATACTACGTTTCTAAGAGGCTCGAACCTCACGTCGCAATAGGCAAACTTACGTATACACGGAGCTTCTATTTCGGTCATCTGACAAGCGTTCCGTGGTGTCGACGGCGGAGCAGATGCAGGTTGATGCCGGGAATGGTTCTTGGACGAGTGAAACGACGACGATTGCTGGGAAGGTGGTCTTCGCGTTCCATTTGTGCCCACGAGCGAAACCAAATTCATATTTCCGGCACCACCGTTATTGCTGCTATTGGCACTCTGAAAACGGTTTTGTAAAATATTGTCTTCATCTCTGATAATCGACTGAAAGCTTGTCGATCCCCGACTCATTCGCAGCCGATCCGTTCGCGCGTAAATGTTGGTCAGGTCGAGGAAATTACTTTGGAATTTGTCGCATATTTTTCAAAAGCAGCGAGGATTTACATATAGTAAAACTATTATCAGTCTAAGCATAATCAAATGGTAACAAAGTATAATACTTTGTATGTAAATCTTACTCATATACATTACAAATTTGTTGACGTAAAAATATAATTTAAATTCGATTTAAGTAAAATATAATTTACTCAAGAAAAAAAATATTACATAAACTTTGTAACTTGTAAAAGCGTATAATGAGTTTTGTGAGATGTTTGCAAATAGTTCTAAGAATGTCTCCTTATAGATATATGTACGCCTATACTCATATCAATTATCAATTATACAGATATTAATTATCACAGACTTTATCCGACATTGTCTAGACATTGATAAATGACATTATCTTTTCAAAACTTGTTTTTCAAGTATGCCAATCATGAGTTATGTAATTTATTATAATAAATATATATCTTATTTATTTTGCTCATGAGCAATGTTAACATTATACATATTAACATTTAAATATATTCTCTGTTTTACCTATTCTTAAAAATAATACAATAATTTCATTAAAAAATTTAATATAAAAAAATGTGTCACATTAATAGTTATTTTTCGTTAAAAGAATGTAACATGTATGTATTAATAAATACTGTAAAAAATTATAGGTGCAATTTATTAATGCAAGATTAGAGTAAAGATAACTTTTTACATCTTTTTTTAAATGAATATCGTTAAAAAAAAATTCTAAAATCAATTTACTTATAAAACACATTACACACATAATTTCTAGTATATTTTATCAACAAATATTACACCTGTTGAAACAAATATTACAGCTTACGATTACATATTTATTTAATGCTAATTGAATTACGTTTTGTGTACTACATCACGTTGTTTTACATTGAAATCTTAACAAACAATTTAGGTGGAGTGCAATTTTTACGTAAATACATATGCTGTGAATTACATACAGACACGGGCTTCACAAGACGTGAGATAGTAACTAAAATAAACATGAACGAGCAATACACAAAGTGCAGCATTATACATTCACCGACGCATTCACCATGCTAAACTATATATGCATATACAATTTTTGTCTAAAGCGCGCCTAGTGTGTTTTTAAACGCGCTTCATAAACATGCACTCTTGCAAGTTACATAGTGGAAAAGAGAGAGACTTTTTATATATTTCTTTTCATGACACGTTTATACAATTATTTTATAATAAATCGCTGATAATTTTTACTTCGATTCAATATAAGATTATATCAAAAACTGGTATAAACCAGTTTTATGAATCTATTTTATGAGCCAAAGTAAAATAAATTTATGTTACGATTTGTATCATAATATAAAATTATTTTACTCTGGTTCAGAAAATATAAAATACTTGTAAAAAAATATAAAAAAGGGCAAATGTAATATAAATATAAATATACTAATATGATACGATTATGTATTCTGCAATTAATCAGTGAGCCATTGAAACGATAACATTTTCAGTTAAACTAATTTTGGTTTAAATTAAAATAATAAATGCATGATTAAAATGCACAACTGTTATTCGTATTTTTAAATGTTTATTTATATTTTTAGTAAATTGACAATAATGAATAAAAGTGAATTATCTTTAATCAATATTAAATAATAGATAAAATAATACTACAAGAAAATATATATTTGGCACAATTACTACATCGAGAAAAAAGGGTCATTCATTCAATTAATACGAGCGAAAGAATCCAATAATTTATTGATATCCCTCATTCGTATAAAGTATTGACCGGATTATTTAGGAGAATCCTTAGGGTGCCAATCATAGTAACAGATCACATAAGTACCTATCCATTTCTTAAATCACCATTTTCATCATTATCACATTCAATTGATAAAATGCTGTGGCCTTAATTGCTAACCCCTATCACCTTGATAAATTTTCCTGTCAGTATATGGCTTGTTTATTTCTCAAAAACTTCGACAACGTGAAAATTACATTCATTCGTAGCTTTGAATAATAAGCAAAATTAAAATTTTATTACACGGTGCCGGTGTACTAAAACGTCCGTTCTGGAAAATGACAACGTCAATTTTATCGGAATTTTAACACCGTGTTCTAGTTTCATGATATATTCTATAGAAATCGAAATTTCTCAATTTGTAGTCACAAAAAATATAGTTCCATTCAGTTAATCATTTTATGAATTTTTTAATTTGTATCGTCTCTTTTAGATAACAAAGATAATATATATTTAAAGATATCACATAATATATGTCCAATTAATATAAGAAACTGCATTACTTCAATCCAATTTTTTCTTGAAGATTACGTAACCAATGGAAAAAATTAGTCTATATATTTTTCTTACTATATTTACGCAAGAAATTTTCCAATATTCAATTTTATCATGATTTATATTAGACACCTTATACGTCAATGAAAAATCCATACATCATTGGTTAGCCTTCAACTCACTTAACTCTCGCAACTCACTTAACGAAAAACAAGTTCAATATGTCAACAAAAATAAATTCTCGATTGACATAGTAAGTTGATGACAAATATTATCGTTTTTAAAATCTTATTTAGAAGGATTTCCGCACTAAAATCACATGTTTTTAATTCAAATTCATAATAATTATTCTAATTTAGATTTATTTCTAGATATGTTTAATATATTAATTTCGAAATCTTGATATTTTTATTATATAACACATAAAAATGTGTAGTCAAAAATAAAGTAAAATATTTATAATTTCTGAAAATAACAACAATTACTAATTTCATTACTTGCTATATAACTTTTCCATTTATCAGTAATAATAAATTAAAAGTATCAAACATAAGATATAAAGAACAAAAGCATAAGAAAAATAAAAATAAACGCATATATTTTGTTTTTAACATTTATATACTGACTCAAGTAAAGATACTCAATAAAGATGATGAATTTTTAGAAAAAGATTTATTATCTCATTAAAAAATGTTGGACAATGACATTGCTAAGTTGTCGCCAATTGACCTCTGACTCAATTTATTAAGAAAAAATAACGATACTGTATGTTGATAAGAAGAAGCTCATAAAGAGCGACGAAATGCACTGTCATCCCAAGAAGATAGTCGAAGTGACTTTATGACGTCCATATCTACGCACTTTTATTTTGCGCGACGTTATTTATTTCACTGTGGCGTACGTGGAGCAGCTAGTCATAAAATCTCGCGCACGGTGCGTGCGTCTCACTGCCATCCACTGAGTTAACTGTCTTCTTTAATTAAACAGAAACTTTAACGAGAATTGACAAAATTATAATATTATAATAACGTAAATAGCAATTTTGCAGTTCTTTTTCTCACGTTATTGACACAACTGTGACAATCAAGTGTGGGAAAGGTTTTATCAATTTGAAACGAAAACTGCCAACAACTTTCTTTAACCAGAAACGTTTTCTTCTTCAGTAACTAATCCGGAGATTCCTGTCGCGATGGAACCCTCTACTTTGCTCCTGTCTATCCTGACAGCGAGTATTTGCTTATACTATTTTATTCTAAACAAGTTATCTTACTTCGAGAGACGGAAGATCCCTCATGTGCGACCGCTTCCATTTTTTGGTAACATGGCACCTTTTGCTTTTCGACGTATATCCGCTGCGGAGCTCATACAAAGAATATACAACCGCTTTCCGGACGCAAAGTACTTTGGCTTCTTCGAATTTATAAC